AAATGTACTGTAGAGTGGTTTTGTTGAGAGTTATAAATGTACAGTAGAATTGTTATGTTGAGAGTTACAAATGTACTGTAGAGTGGTTTTGTTGAGAGTTACAAATGTACTGTAGAGTGGTTTTGTTGAGAGTTACAAATGTACTGTAGAGTGGTTTTGTTGAGAGTTACAAATGTACTGTAGAGTGGTTTTGTTGAGAGTTACAAATGTACTGTAGAGTGGTTTTGTTGAGAGTTACAAATGTACTGTAGAGTGGTTTTATTGAGAGTTACAAATGTACTGTAGAGTGGTTTTGTTGAGAGTTATAAATGTACAGTAGAATTGTTATGTTGAGAGTTACAAATGTACTGTAGAGTGGTTTTGTTGAGAGTTACAAATGTACTGTAGAGTGGTTTTGTTGAGAGTTACAAATGAACAGTGCAGTGGTTTTATTGAGAGTTACAAATGTACTGTAGAATTGTTATGTTGAGAGTTACAAATGTACTGTAGAGTGGTTTTGTTGAGAGTTATAAATGTACAGTAGAATTGTTATGTTGAGAGTTACAAATGTACTGTAGAGTGGTTTTGTTGAGAGTTATAAATGTACAGTAGAATTGTTATGTTGAGAGTTACAAATGTACTGTAGAGTGGTTTTGTTGAGAGTTACAAATGTACTGTAGAGTGGTTTTGTTGAGAGTTACAAATGTACTGTAGAGTGGTTTTGTTGAGAGTTATAAATGTACAGTAGAATTGTTATGTTGAGAGTTACAAATGTACTGTAGAGTGGTTTTGTTGAGAGTTATAAATGTACAGTAGAATTGTTATGTTGAGAGTTACAAATGTACTGTAGAGTGGTTTTGTTGAGAGTTATAAATGTACAGTAGAATTGTTATGTTGAGAGTTACAAATGTACTGTAGAGTGGTTTTGTTGAGAGTTACAAATGTACTGTAGAGTGGTTTTGTTGAGAGTTACAAATGTACTGTAGAGTGGTTTTGTTGAGAGTTATAAATGTACAGTAGAATTGTTATGTTGAGAGTTACAAATGTACTGTAGAGTGGTTTTGTTGAGAGTTATAAATGTACAGTAGAATTGTTATGTTGAGAGTTACAAATGTACTGTAGAGTGGTTTTGTTGAGAGTTATAAATGTACAGTAGAATTGTTATGTTGAGAGTTACAAATGTACTGTAGAGTGGTTTTGTTGAGAGTTATAAATGTACAGTAGAATTGTTATGTTGAGAGTTACAAATGTACTGTAGAGTGGTTTTGTTGAGAGTTATAAATGTACAGTAGAATTGTTATGTTGAGAGTTACAAATGTACTGTAGAGTGGTTATGTTGAGAGTTACAAATGTACTGTAGAGTGGTTTTGTTGAGAGTTACAAATGTACTGTAGAGTGGTTTTGTTGAGAGTTACAAATGTACTGTAGAGTGGTTTTGTTGAGAGTTATAAATGTACAGTAGAATTGTTATGTTGAGAGTTACAAATGTACTGTAGAGTGGTTTTGTTGAGAGTTATAAATGTACAGTAGAATTGTTATGTTGAGAGTTACAAATGTACTGTAGAGTGGTTTTGTTGAGAGTTATAAATGTACAGTAGAATTGTTATGTTGAGAGTTACAAATGTACTGTAGAGTGGTTTTGTTGAGAGTTATAAATGTACAGTAGAATTGTTATGTTGAGAGTTACAAATGTACTGTAGAGTGGTTTTGTTGAGAGTTATAAATGTACAGTAGAATTGTTATGTTGAGAGTTACAAATGTACTGTAGAGTGGTTTTGTTGAGAGTTACAAATGTACTGTAGAGTGGTTTTGTTGAGAGTTACAAATGTACTGTAGAGTGGTTTTGTTGAGAGTTATAAATGTACAGTAGAATTGTTATGTTGAGAGTTACAAATGTACTGTAGAGTGGTTTTGTTGAGAGTTACAAATGTACTGTAGAGTGGTTTTGTTGAGAGTTACAAATGTACTGTAGAGTGGTTTTGTTGAGAGTTACAAATGTACTGTAGAGTGGTTTTGTTGAGAGTTACAAATGTACTGTAGAGTGGTTTTGTTGAGAGTTACAAATGTACTGTAGAGTGGTTTTGTTGAGAGTTACAAATGTACTGTAGAGTGGTTTTGTTGAGAGTTACAAATGTACGGTAGAGTGGTTTTGTTGAGAGTTACAAATGTACTGTAGAGTGGTTTTGTTGAGAGTTACAAATGTACTGTAGAGTGGTTTTGTTGAGAGTTATAAATGTACAGTAGAATTGTTATGTTGAGAGTTACAAATGTACTGTAGAGTGGTTTTGTTGAGAGTTACAAATGTACTGTAGAGTGGTTTTGTTGAGAGTTACAAATGTACTGTAGAGTGGTTTTGTTGAGAGTTATAAATGTACAGTAGAATTGTTATGTTGAGAGTTACAAATGTACTGTAGAGTGGTTTTGTTGAGAGTTATAAATGTACAGTAGAATTGTTATGTTGAGAGTTACAAATGTACTGTAGAGTGGTTTTGTTGAGAGTTACAAATGTACTGTAGAGTGGTTTTGTTGAGAGTTACAAATGTACTGTAGAGTGGTTTTGTTGAGAGTTACAAATGTACTGTAGAGTGGTTTTGTTGAGAGTTACAAATGTACTGTAGAGTGGTTTTGTTGAGAGTTACAAATGTACTGTAGAGTGGTTTTGTTGAGAGTTACAAATGTACTGTAGAGTGGTTTTGTTGAGAGTTATAAATGTACAGTAGAATTGTTATGTTGAGAGTTACAAATGTACTGTAGAGTGGTTTTGTTGAGAGTTACAAATGAACAGTAGAATTGTTATGTTGAGAGTTACAAATGTACTGTAGAGTGGTTTTGTTGAGAGTTACAAATGTACTGTAGAGTGGTTTTGTTGAGAGTTACAAATGAACAGTAGAATTGTTATGTTGAGAGTTACAAATGTACTGTAGAGTGGTTTTGTTGAGAGTTACAAATGAACAGTGCAGTGGTTTTGTTGAGAGTTACAAATGTACTGTAGAGTGGTTTTGTTGAGAGTTAGAACTGTACATTATAATAGGTTTCTTGAGAGTTAGAACTGTACATAAGAATTGTTATGTTGAGAGTTAGAACTGTACATTATAATAGGTTTCTTGAGAGTTAGAACTGTACATAAGAATTGTTATGTTGAGAGTTAGAACTGTACATAAGAATTGTCATGTTGAGAGTTAGAACTGTACAGTAGAATTGTTATGTTGAGAGTTAGAACTGTACAGTAGAATTGTTATGTTGAGAGTTAGAACTGTACATGAGAATTGTTATGTTGAGAGTTAGAACTGTACAGTAGAATTGTTATGTTGAGAGTTAGAACTGTACAGTAGAATTGTTATGTTGAGAGTTAGAACTGTACATAAGAATTGTTATGTTGAGAGTTAGAACTGTACATGAGAATTGTTATGTTGAGAGTTAGAACTGTACAGTAGAATTGTTATGTTGAGAGTTAGAACTGTACAGTAGAATTGTTATGTTGAGAGTTAGAACTGTACATGAGAATTGTTATGTTGAGAGTTAGAACTGTACAGTAGAATTATTTTGTAGAGTGGAAATTAGAACTGAACATTATCATATATTTTTGAGAGCTACAAGCGTACAGTGCTGTACATTGCATTGTTGTATGATATCGATACAGGGTTTGAAATAGTTTTAGTAAAACAACTATTTATTTCTGTCATACGTTCTTCGGTTTAGCGCTTTTGTACATTTTTTTTTTATTATTTGTGAACGATTTTTGTGCTATACACGTGTTAAATCTTCTATATCATTACATAAATAAATACGTTGATTTCATATTCGCTGCACAAATACAGAGCTAATATTATAGAAAGCAGCTACAATATATTACCGCGAGTAATTGCAATGTAACCTACTATTAGTATTTGATATTTTTTCAGCCTTCAGATCAAATGAAAATTCATTTTAGTTTAACTTTCATGTTAATAATTAAAACGTTTTAAATGATTCAAACGGGAATTTTAAATCTTTATATTAATTTATGTATATCTTAAGAGTATATGATATCAAGGTAGTTTTGACTCGAGAGAAAATATCGCCCATTATTCGACTTTGTGGGGTGTTTCATCGTATCGTTGTACCTTAATATCTTCATTGTATATGTCTACCAACGACAGTGTGTGTAAAAGTGGTGTATTTAAACGGGCACATTTAATTATCAACAGCTAATGTACACATTAAATGACATGATTTTATATCAATACATTGGCCGATTTAACCCTACTGTATACGAACTAAACTTACACGTATGATATCGCTACGTCCGTGGTGTTTGGTTACAGTAGTAAGCAATGTCTATTTTATTGAATAACTTTTATATTTATTTATAATTTCAGGTAGATCCGGCCATAAACATCGACCAACAATTGTCCCGTATTTCAATGTGTGAAAAGGCCAGATTTCACGCCGAGGGAAACAGAACACAGAACAACCACTTTTAAGACACGCATTTACTGCTGTGATTGACGTTCAATCTACAAATCTCCAGATTTGTTCGTGTTTGCCTGCACTGTAAGAGGAGATCGAATTTAATCTTATCAAGAATTTTTATATACTGAGATTTATAAGTCACCAACTTGTGCTATATACATTGTGTAATTCACTGTAAGGTTACCGAAGTATTTCGAGTATTGTTAGATTGACCGACACTCAATAGATACTTTCCATACCTTAAACATTTTCTAAAACTGACAAATTTTATGTAAGAATAGAATCTGCAGCTAAAGATAAAAAGGAAATCAAAGTTCAATTTCAATGAAATAACACCAAATCTTTTATAACGTTAAGTATATTTAAAAACATTTTCTATAAAGTGTAAATAACACCATCAGATATCAAGCACATTTATAATATTTAATAATAAGTTGTGTATAGAGAGGTTATAACCACATAAACACATACACCTATATATATTACCTACCCAGTCCGAGATTTATGATCTATACCTGTGGCCAAATGCCAGCCATACAAATTGTAAATAAATCGTGGTGTTTAGAAAAATGGATAAAGCTTTAATCAATTATAAGAAAACTAGCCATTGTAAATTGTCGAATCCTCGAGCAGACGGGCTCGCACATGCGCATTCTGTTGAATTCGCCGTCGATAGAGTTAAAGGATATCGGACGACACGGGCTTGTGTAAGAGGGGATCTTGACAGTTTAGTTAAATGTCCTGTATGCTGCACTTACATCCTTGTAACGGAGTCGGCCACAAATATGGATTTAGACAGGGCTAATATGAACTATAAATATGGGAAAGGAAGCAATTCAAATGTCCCAAAGCTTCTTCTTTCAGCTGAAAATGGACTCCGGAATTTGTGTGACACGTGCAGCAACGACGAACAGGAAGTCACGTGTATTGAATGTGATCAAAATCTTTGTTTCGATTGCACGAGAGTTCATTTAAAAACAAATGCAACAAGAAGGCACCACGTGACGGGTCTTGCAGATTCTGCAAGTTCGCCAAGGCGTGAAAATGGAGAAACTTCGGCCTTGACGAAGAATTTGCTTACATCTCTGAACGGTTTGACATCATCAACTTCAGCTCTAACTTCCGTGCTTGCGTCAGAAAGACCAAAGACAGTAAACCCTGTGACGTCACAATTACGTTATAGTGATTTGTATCAAAGAGGGAACTCACCAAGACCATCAGAGCAAAGGAAGCGGTTTGAGTTTAAGCAACTACGACCAAAGGGATGGGGGACTGATTTTAGTCTTGTCACTACGTTTGATGTTGGGAGTTACGTTCTGAGCATGTGCGCAGCATCACGTGATCAAGTTTGGATATCTGAAGCTATGTCGTCTGCCATACATCTATACAATATCGAGGGCCAAAGACTGAAGAGCATCAATGTGCACAGCGAGGTGAGAGATATGGCGGTCAACAAGGCTTCCGATGAAATTTACGTTACATGTTTCGCTAACAAAACCGTTAAAGTCATCAGTCCAGACAACAAGATTTCCAGTTTTCTTACTCTTCCACTTCATCCTGCAGGAATTGCCATAAATAGCTATGGGGATGTCGTAATATGCGGTGTAGAAGACTTTCGGCGGCGTTACCGACCGGAACAGAGAAATCGTTTATTGATATACTCGAGAGAAGGGAAACGGAAACGGGAGATCGAACATGATCAGATGGGTGGGAGAATGTTCAAATACCCGGAGTATATTGACATCAATATCAATGGTGATATGTGTGTATCTGATATAGAAAACGAAAGTCTCGTGATCTTACGTGAAGACGGGAGGATGAAGAACGTGTACAAGGGACCACCGAAAGGCACGCTTGACAAAACCTTTGACCCCCGTGACGTCAAATGTGATAAGGAGGGAAATATTGTTGTATGCGATATAAACAACAATGCTCTCCATCTACTGGACATTTCCGGCGATTTCACAAGAGTCCTTTTGTATGAAGAGGATGGAATATATTGGCCGGACATTCTGGCGATTGACCACCGCAATCATATATGGGTAAGGGAGCTTTGGCAACAGTCCGTTAAAGTTTTCCAGGCACTGGGAACTTACTGACCTGTCCAAGTCTGAAACATGTTCAAGTTTTCCATGCACTGACTGAGAACGTATATACCTACCTAGTCTGATAGGAGATATCAAGCGTTACCCAGTCCTATCACATCCTCTCCGTACAGATTGTTTTTCTATGTAGCCATATTTTGAAAAGGAAACATCTAGACATGCATTTCAAAGAAGTCACAACGAGCTAGGTTACGGCCAGTAGCCTATTTCATAAAATATTGCCAACGATGTAGTAAGGGCTTTGAAACGATATAAAACAAGTTTATAAGCATGTTACATACAGAGGGAGTCGTGTGTTTACTGTTGATAAATATACATGGTAAAATAAGGTATTTTGTATAGGAAATATCTTGTGTACAATGTAATGGTTAAAATCAATGGAGGCAAACATAGGTCGCTATTGCTTAGCTTAAGGGAGAGTGTCTCATCACAAAGAATTTTGCTTCATGTAAAGAAGAGTTCTTTTGTGTGCAATATTCGATGGTCGGTCGTTATAAAGCTATTAAATGAACGTATGAATTCCATAGAGATCAGTATCGGTATGTTGATATAGATTGCATTTATTTTGATTGTCTCCCTTGTTACATATTTAGTCCAAAAAATGCTGGTTTGTTTCATTTGTCAGAAGAGATGTCCATCAACAGAATATTTGGTGGTAATTTATCATTTTGAATTCATAAAAGCAGCTACTGTCTATGTTTACACTTCTTTACGTGTATTTTCAGGTATATATATATATGTGTGTGTGTGTGTGTGTGTGTGTGTGTGTGTGTATCTTGTTGTATACTTACAAAGAAAATGAAACCTGTTTTTCTATCATTTCTCATAATAAACATGTTGCGTTGTATTAATCATATTATCTAAAAGTCTAAAAAGTCAGTAGGAATATACCTAACAGGACGAAAATCATTAAAAAAAATCCAACACATACAGTTCATAACTAAAAATGCTTGATACATATCTATTTTGTCCCTGTTTAAATGTGTTCCATAATATCATCGGAGCACTTTTCCTTTAGGAATATAATTCTGTCAGGTTTCGTTTTTTATCTGATGGCTGATTTTCTTTCTTTTTAGCATAAACCCGTAACCACACACCTGGATTGAGTTTCTGATTTTTACACTGCATAAGTAAATATTTCTATTACGAATGCTTTTCAAGGGTTTAAGTTTTCCTTCAAACACATAGTTTAGATTACATAACAACTAGAATGGACTTTGATAATCAGAGGTACAAAACACTGATTAAAGATCTTGTTTAATAAGATGGTAATTCAATCTCGCTGGCATTTGATTTTCACTGCAATGATTGCATGGTACTTAAAATGGTGATCTTTTAATAACACAGACACAGGCCTTTTGATATATTTCGGTCCCTTGAAATTTCGTTTATAAACGCACTGTTCACGGCAACAGCGCGTTGGTCGAGACAGATTGTTAGCAGCTAACTTTCCATTAGTCAATTCCAGGGAGAAATGAACGCTTAGGGCAAGTCGTAGTGCAGTATACGTTAAATAGGAATCAATTTAATTGGTTGGTCAACATTTAGGAGTTAATGTGATTTTATATTGGCTGAGTAAATAAACACTGTACATGTATTAGAACAGTTTACAAGCTATAGTAATGTAATATGAATTTTTGTTTGTTTTCCTCATTGTTGGAAAATTACATTCAAAGAAAAAATACACACACATTTATAAGGAATATAAGTGCAAACATTTTCCCTTTCGTGCCTATCATAAAAAATGTACTTTTTTACTTCAAGCTTTTGGTAATAAAAATTATTGAAAACTTGAATGTAATTAGGATGAAGTATGACTATAATTGTCTTCTGGTTCCTGTAAGGTTGATTTTTATTTGCTTCATTGTGTCTGTGATAAGTTGTCTGTTTATTATATGAATTATTGGTGTCGATTAATTTATTGACTATGTTGTTTGTTTATCATTTCTGTGCAAAATAATTCATTAAAATGTATGTAAACTTACTACTCTGAGTTAAAAACTATTTTGAAAACAAGTCTTTTTGTTAACACGAATTTATGTCCAAACCATTTTATAGATTTGCTTTCGAGTATGATAATTTTATTCGGGGTAGTTACAGCCCCTTAGGTCATAAATTGTATCATCTACACATGTGTACATAATAAAAATGAATATCAGAAATAGAAAGAGCACGTGCAATGATCACGGTCCAAGGTGCGTATACCTCATTTGGTAGGCTATTACAATCAGGGAAAGCTTATGGGAATACCTTTGGTATCCTCACAGTATCTACTTTCCTGAAATTATGGATTGTGTGAACATGACATTCACATAGGTAATGGTAGAATTAAAAAATTAAGAAAAAAAAAAAAAATTGTTGTAACGCTAAACGGTAGCTTTAACATGGCACAATAAATTAACAAGTGAAATTGATCAAGGACAAAGTACAATAACAGGAAAACATCAGTGTATGCTTATTAACCAAACTGTGTGTTGAGGTGGTCTTGCATAGAGAGCAAAATACATTGCATCTTTGGTTATGACAGCACACGCAGCTCATGTACTTAAACAGAAAGCAATTTGTTGTAACGCTAAACGGTAGCTTTAACATGGCACAATAAATTAACAAGTGAAATTGTAACTGAAAATCAGCATCAGCAACTGAAAGATGAATGACGACGACGACGACGGCGACGACGATGATGTTTTGTAATTTTCATGTGCCGTATTAAAAAAAATCAGGAAAAATATTTGTATATCCCCTGTCTGGTTATAACAGCTAACACACTTGGATAGAAACAAAGCTCGGAGCACATAGCTAAACAGAAAAGAATCTCTTACCAAAATTGAGATTTATCGAGGTTGTATTTGTCAAGAGATGTGAGTTACAAGCCAGAGCTAAATCAAAGATTGTCACATATTTTGTTTTAAAACAGAGATAGAGACCAAGCCGAGGTGAACCTAAATATGAAATATGAGAAGCATTAATCTTGTACCTTTGTAAAATAGCATTAAGAATTGTTTAAGAACGAACTGACAACGGACCAAGGACGAAAGGCGATTGACATATGAACAGGAATAGCACACGTTCAACTTTCCCAGTCAAGTTGTCCATAGATTTTAATCAGGATGTAGGTGAAAGAGTTTGAAAAGACTTAACACGTTTCTCTGCGTGGTTTATCTGTCTAATTTGTTTTAAATATTGATTAATAATGTACATACCGTCCAAATTTCATCAAGTCTATGCCAAAATGATAAAAAATATTTCCTCTCCACTTGATATTAGATTGACTCAATAACAGACATCTTGGAGAGGCATCGACAAGAGATCGTGACGGTACACTCATCCAAAATTGTTAGTACATTTCTTTCAAATGGATATAGAGGTATCATTTTCTGTAGAATCATCCAGTTGTGATATTTAGTGGATTAGCATCAAAATTCAGAATTCATGGGATTAGATCATGGAAATTATCTTATATAAATGTGTTATATAACTATTTTAACTATTTAAAATTATCAACTGCATATGCAGCACTCAACTTTCATGAAACTAGAAATATTTCCTAATGGAAACCTATCAGACCATAATCTACATAACATTGAATTGAATTTACATCATTGTATGATGATTCAAAGTACCTTTTTTGTAATTAGAATTATGTCAGTACTAGTTTGAAAAGTATATTTGTGAGGGAGATGTTGACTGTTTTCAAGAGTCAAATCTGTAATATAGTAATCACATATCAATTTAAAAAAAGGTTAAGACTGATTCAATACGTCCTATACATTGGCCAATGGGAGTTCAATTTAATTCCAAAATCTTTTATTCATCACAATTCCATAGAAGATTTATGTACAATATAAGATCCAGAAAACGATATTTTGAAGCATTTTCTTCAGATAAGTAATGTCAATAGAATAAAAGTTGTTATAACACAACCAGTAGAAGATCAGAGTGGGACGTTTCAATGACTACACGATCACCTTCATCAGACAAATGACCAGTGTGAAACATGCTGGCACTGATGTACGTAGTTTACGAGATGGTAAAGAAACGACCAACTCTTCCATCTGTATTACAAACATATGGGCACTAAAGTAAAAAATATTTTGAAAAGTCGATAACCAGAGAATAAATGTGCAAGAAGGTACGAAGAGTTATGGCTGAATCAATCTTTATGTAACAGAGGTCATTATGTAGTTCAATGCTACCACTGGGAATAACTCTGTTAAAGTTCCAGAGGCACAATATGACCGTCTGATCACGAAATGTATATGTTACGGTCCAGACAAGGAAACATACAAGGTTAGATAACTCTGAGATGCAATATATATCAACTTTATATTAGTGATACAGATAAGGCCAAGATAGAATAATCAAAAAGCAATAACTATAAGCTAGAGGTTGTCGAGAAGAGTGACATTATTTAATCAATAACCTGAGATATGACTTGACAATTAAGGAAAACAAAGGAAATAATTGCGCAAGGAAGGATATAATTCAAGGGAGACAATTTTAGTAAGTATCTCACTTCTATTCTTATCTGTACAATACATAAAGTATGTGTGTATGACTAAACAATTAAAGAAAGGAAACAATTGCGCAAGGAAGGAAATCATTCAAGGAAGACCATTTTAGAAAGGATCTCTCTTCGATTCTTATCTGTACAATACATAAAGTATGTGTGTGAAGTATAGCCAGTGTTGAGTATTTTAGCATATTTTAATAATCTGCTCCATTATTGAAGACCCAGAGTTACGGTATTTGATTCGTAGGTTACTTTTCTTGATTGGTGTGCTTTAACTTATCTTCATATAAAGGAATTTGATTTCTTCTCAGGGTCACAGAAACCCATTCTGTCTGAAACCTCAAGGTTTTTCTCTAGTTTGCGTTTTTGTGAATCTTCTTAAAGTGTAAATGTTACCCAAAACTTGAACACCTACACCACCGCGACCTCGAAAGCAAGTGTGTTTTCTTTTTTTAAAAAATTACAATTTTATGTTGTATAA